CATACATACATACATGCCTGAATGCTTGCATGCATACATACATGCATACATGTCGCCTGAATGCTTGCATGCATGCATACATATCGCCTGAATGCTTGCATGCATACATACATGCTTGAATGCTCGCATGCATACATACATATCGCCTGAATGCTCGCATGCATAGATACATGCCTGAATGCTTGCATGCATACATACATACATACATACATACATAAATGCTTGCATGTATGTAGTTATACATGCATAGATACATACATAATATAGATAGATAGACCGACCGACAGACAGATGGACAGACATGGATGGATGGCGGAATGGGCGGGCGGGTCGCGGGAGGACGGATTTACGCATAGAGAGCCACACATACACAGACAGAAAAACAAGTTTCCCTACAAAATAGATCAAACTTTGACACTGCTCCAACGTTACGAGATAAAGCACGTATGACATAATCAAGTAACATTAGTCGTGTCCCCATGTGTTACTGTGTTTGAGTGTACTATTGTTCCAAAATTACTGCCAGCAAACACGTTCTCGCTTGTAACTCGGACATTCACCGACATGTGGGAATCTAATTACGAAATTGATCTTGCCATCAGGTTTGAATTTATTGTGATTGTTCTTCATTTCCTTCTGTTGTTCTGCTGCTTAAGTCGTAAAGAGTCACAGAGAGAAGTTTGTTACAGTTTCCTGTCTTTTACTACTGGACAACTCAAGTTCTTGAAGAAACCAAAAAAGTAGAAATGGATGAACAACTAGAACTGTTCACTTGTGTTTACAGCCGGTGACAGCGAAGAATAAGAAGAAGAAGAAGAAGAAGAAGAAGAAGAAGAAGAAGAAGAAGGAGAAGGAGAAGAAGAAGAAGAATGCTTTGTAGTCTGCTGTTCTCGTATAGTATGTGTGCTCTAGCTGCTCGCTGGTGTGGCTTGCTTCTGACGGTAAAAAACACTATTGATTCTTTGATGTTCTATGAAATCATTTGCTGGTATCTAATGGATGTTCTAACTATGTGGATAAATTAGCTTGGGTTTATACTAAATGAACGTTTCTTCTGACTTTCCGTTGTTATATTGTACCAAAGAGATACAGGGGAATTAGAGCCAATGGCACTGAACATAATAGACTATGGATGAAGTTGTTTCTGTCCATAGCACGAATTCTAGGAAAATATATCCATCGACGACAAACTGCATTTCATGTGCCGGTCTGTGTGTGTGTGTGTGTGTGTGTGTGTGTGTGTGTGTGTGTGTGTGTGTGTGTGTGTGTGGACTTCTATTGGCTGCCTTATGCATTTAATGCATGTGTATGCTACTGACTTTGCCGAATCTGCAGTCTGTGTCACTTTTTGTTTTCAGAAGCGTCAGTGATGTAACTATGGGACGGCTCATTTGCAATGAAGTTTGGAACTTCCACCACCTGATTATCTGGGGGGGGGGGGGGGGGGGAAATGTTATATAGAATTTGTGTTACCCATGCAGCATTATCTCCCTGTCAGCATGTCTTGTTTACTTTTAAAGAAAAGGTAACACTCATCCGTTTATGGGGTTGATGGAGGGGTGGGGCAACCTGCCACAGAAGATGCTGGATTAGAAGACCAATGCTCTGCCCATCTGTAAAAATTTGCCCCATCTGCCTGATCTGCCCTGCTACAAACACGTTTTCAGGTGACATTTCCTCTGCCTTGCAAATGTGGTTTATGAAGAATATCTTTCATTACACGCCTGCATCTGGAAAAGTGCCCCAGTCTTCTCTCACCAGTCATAGCAGATTCTTACCACAACACACTAAAACCGCAGCCAGGTTTAGCATGTGTGTATGTGAGAATCCACAGAAATATACACATTTATGGTTTAATCGTGTAACAGAAATTTTGCATTTTTGTTACACTTTTTTACCGTTCGGCACTTTATTACTATCATTGTTGTATCATCATCTCCATCATTTTAAACTCAAGCAAGGCTTAGTTCCAGCACAGTGATGGAGATGAACTTGGTATGCCCAACAAACATTAATGTTGACGATGATGAGCTGTTGGGTGTGCTAGAGATTGAGTTCCTAGACTCTAACATCGCAGACGATCTTTCCGTAGAATTAACTAAACAAACAGGAAAGGCTTCTGCAATGCTTTCCAAACTCACATCAAGAGTTGAATGAAAAAAAAATGAAAAAAACTGATGCAGAGGACTACAATTATAGTTTATGAAGCTTGCGCCCCGAGCTCGCTCCTTTACTGAAGTGAAACCTGGACTCTGTATGCTGTTCAAGAAAACTTCTTCTTAAAGACCATGTCGTGTGGCGTTGATAGTCATGTCCATCTACAATCGTCTGTTTCGTGTACTTTCAATCAACTCTGATACAGATGATATTCTATACCGTATGGCATTGGTAGTCATGTCCATCTACAATCGTCTGTTTCGTGTACTTTCAATCAACTCTGATACAGACGATCTTCCATACCGTACGGCGTTGGTAGTCATGTTCATCTACAATATTCTGTTTCGTGTACTTTCAATCAACTCTGATACAGATGATCCCGCAGACCATGAGCTCAGACTGTCCAGCATCCATTCTCTCGGTCTCCCTCTGCCTCTCCTCACCTCCAACTTTCCTACCGTCACGATGTACTCTAGTTTTCTCCTTCTCATCAAATGACCCAACAATGTAGATTATTTCTTTCTGATGTGTGCAGTCAGTTCTCTTCGTGGGTCAGTTTCTGTCAAGACATCTTCATTACGTTTTAAATCTGTCTAGGGTATCTCGTAATTCCTCTTTAAAACCACATCTCCGCAGCTTCCAAATAAGTTTTTTTTTTAAAATTACCAACTGTCCATGATTTAAAAAAACTGAATATTTTCCACACTCGTTGCATGAGACGCATTCTTGATGTATCTTGGCACAAACAGGCTTGCAATGGTTGTGACATGTCTCCCGCATGCAGGATGGTGGTATTCTAAAGGATCTCCTTTGCAGTGAACTGGAAACAGTGAAAAGACCTGCGGGAAGATCAAGGCTATGCTATAAGGATAAACGCAAACGTGACCTCAAAAATACCAACATTGACCCTGACATTTGGTCAGAAGAGCTGCATATCGACTTCTAAAAAGGAAAACAGTGAAAGAGGGACCGTCACACTTTGCCTTATATAAAACAAAACAAGATATAGAGAAGAGACGACTGAGACAAAGCCAGTCTCGGGATAACAGAGAATTGACATTTTTGCTTGGACTAGGTGCTGCGCGGTCTCAAGACATGGAAACCGCCTCGAGTGCTAGAGGTTCCGGGTTTAATCCCCGGTAAGGACTGGCGGTTTTCACGTATACTTGGACTTCTTGTAATTCCTTCTGGTGTCTGGGTAGTGAGATCTGGACTCCCGTGTGAATTGCTGCACACGTAAAAAAGCCCTTGGCAGTTGGAAATCGAAAAAAGTAGCCTAACGGCGCTGCCCGGGCAAACTTTTGAGTTAAAAATCTACCCAAAGTATTTCAGGATCCTCGCCGGTGCTTCGGAACTTGTGCACTGTGCTGAGCTTCTTTGGACTCAGACATGGGTTAGAAGACCAACGGATCACTTATGGGTTACACCCGTGTGCCATGAGGTTGATCCGTTGTTTAAACTTAACGCTTGGACTATGTGGTAGATACTGTCACTCCCGCACTAGACTTCACAGTCACAACCAACGCTGCTCTGAGAACCAGCAGCATAGTTCCGTAGACCTAAGAGACTGACCGTTGCTTATTTCAAGGCCCACTGCCCGATTTAAACTTAAGCTGTAGAAAGCCCTGAGGCCCCTAAGGTTTAAATTATTATAGCTACCCCCTCCCCCCACCCCCAAAGAAAAATGTTTAAAATGCATATGCTTTTTTTTTTTTTTAAATATACGACTGATGGGAATATATTGTCGTTTAATTTCTGTTAAGAAAAATAATATGAATGTGTTTGCAAAATCACAGAAATTATATTATTTAATCTTCTAAAAATCTACGAGTTACACCGTAGTACATGTCCCCCTTAATTTTCTAAGTCATTGATTATGTTATCAAAAATGTTTGAGGCCACTTCAGATTGTGAAATCCTAAGCTGCAACTTGTTTAGCTAATAACTAAGTCGTACTTCTGCCCCCTGAGTCCCCTATCCTCCAAAGCTTTCTTTTTGTAGGCACCCCTAAAGGTCCTTGTGTTCTTGCTTGTTATTTCTACCTAGGAGCGCATAGTTACATAGCTGCCTTTTCTTTGTATAATAGTACATACTATAACAGTGTTGGTTTCTCACACACATATACACACTCTCTCTCTCTCCCCGCCCCACCCCCGCCCCACACACAAACACGCGCACTAATACGTGCATGCAACCCTGGATTGGATTACCTAAAGAACATTGTATATTTTCCAAGAGAAAAAATAGGGAACTTTTAGAGTATAAATTAATGTGAGCTGTCACACCAAAACGACATATGGTTTTATGACTAACCCAAGGTGTAATCTTTTTCTTCTGTTTATTCTCCTCCCTATAATTCCGGTCCACAAACCTTAACATTAATTGTATGCATAAAATATGTTCTACCGCCTGCATGGCGCTTTTGAACCGCAGAATGGAATTTATAATTTGGCTCTTTGTGGCTGGAAAAGGACTTTGTGTGGGGACCTTCTGCGACAGCCGTCTGAAGGTTTGACACTCACTGATTCAAGGAGTTGTTGTTCGGAAGGCAAGCTCACAATAGCAAAACCCCAGATACCCTTATATATATATATATATATATATATATATATATATATATATATATATATATATATATATATATATATATACTATGAATATGTATAAAACTTTGCCTTTTCCCCCCAGGTCATAGTTAACAAAGTGTTCATCACGTGGCAGTATTGCCTGACACGTCAACAGGGAATAGTCAGCCAGAAAGAAGGAAAATCGATGGTCAAAGTGACGAACACAACAGTGGACAAGCTAAACTGAGGAGGAGTGGTGGCCGAAACGACGAGGAGATGCAGCGAAGCCATAATAAAGACAAGAGTGTTGAAAAAACCGTGGAGGAGAAATATAACAAACTAGGAGCCATATCATCCAATGAAAATTATGAGGTTTGTATGTAGGCATAGTTTGGATGACACTATGATAACAGTGATGGAGAACCTGTGGGTCGAACTTTCATAACGCAGAAGACGGGTTAGAAACCGCGGTAAAGTTTGGGATTTTTGTTTTGGGTGTAGTTGGAAAAGGGAGGAAGGATGGCAACAACAACAAAAAATCCCGCCGTGCAGTGTTTCTTAAGTTTTTTTTTTTCTTTAAACCATGCACGAGTTGTTTTTGCAACATCTAGTAGTAAGGGTATGCTGTCTAAGTTGTTACTGATTTCATGAAATGCTGTTTGTTTCTAAACTATTCTTCTCTTTATCTCGGCGACACATCGTCCGTCTGATATTATCCACCTGCCTGCATACCTAAATATCTGCAATTGTCGTTTGATCTTTAATTCAGGCCCAATTAGTGCATTTTTTAAAGAAAAGAAAACACATGCAATAAAAAATTTTACCTAAGAAGCTTTTATTTCCAACTCATTACATAATTAATGCACTAAGACTAGAAAAGAAATTTCTCAAATAGATTATTTGAAGCAAGAAATGAAATAACTATCTTTACAAAATTCATTTATAAATGTATAACTTCCTTTTTTTTTTTCTTATAGTCCAAAGCGTGTTGCATTGGCAATTATGCCCACCCACAACCTTGCATCTCGTGTACAATGCCACGATGTCAACTGTCTAGTGTCTTCTCTAGGAACAGTAAAGGCAAACGTCTGCCAAGATAGTAACATACCTATCATCATCATCATCAGTTCCATCCCTGCAGTCATTTCAACACAATGAATGGAATCCATTCTAGCACATTTAGCCTCTCTCACCAACGTTGGGAGGGGGGGGGGGTACAATAGTAATGCTTTTGCCCCCTTATATTTAACTATTAAAATAACTATGTAAACATATTTACTTAAACTTTTGATAATGCATTCATACATTTTGTTATTTAGGCGTTTCATAATGCCGGTGTGCCGTGTTCACTCCTAACCACGGGCGAATTGTCTTGTGTTGGTTTGGACAGCGGTACGGACAGCTGACCGTTTAATACAATGGCAAACAATTTAACGTAAAAATTGCTTAGAAAAACCACAAAAGCAAAAAAAAAAAAAAATGTTGGGGGTTGGTTCTGCACCGTCCTGTAAAGAATACGCAACTAACGTTATGTAGGCGACTATACGACTGTGGGAGTCGCGGTGCCGGAGCATCTAGACGCTCGCCTGCGGAGCCGGACTTTTTTCAAAAATAAACTTGGCTACTAGGTCGACCCAGCCTTGAGTGGGTACCGGGTGCAGTCCCGGGAAATAAAGGCGGCCTGTGTGATACTGACCACATCACCCATCTTGTGCCGATTGGTCTATAAAATATAGAAAGAGCCCTATGCTCTAGACGGCAAAAGGCGTGGAAAACGGTCCTTTTTGTTAAATACCACTGTCGATTTTTGTGTATTAACTGTGTTACATGTTTATTTTGATGACGAGCGTAACAGTGTTACAGAATCTGCAGGTATCCACCGAGAGGGTGGAAGATTACATCCTCACTCCACCAAACGGTGGATGGGGTTGGGTGATTGTTTGTGCCTCCCTGGTTGGTAACCTGATAGTTGATGGGATCAGCTACAGCTTCGGCGTCTTCCTTTTGGAGTTTGTGGACGCTTACAAGGTGAGTTCTCACCTTCTACGTGTGTCATCTTCTTCTTCTTCGCGTTTACCAGCTGTAAATTCTGGAGGAAAAGTCTGGTTATTCGTCCACTCTTGGGCTTTGGTCTTGATCCAGAATTTGAGTTTTTTTAGTGCACATTTATTTTACAGTTATTTCTACATGTGTTATTTTCTTGACCTTTATCGCCAAATGGCGGTATCATTATCATCATCAGCAGCATCATCCTCCTCCCCCTCTTCCTCATCCACATCATCATCATCATCATCATCATCATCATCACAATCACCATCATTATTAAGAGCATTCAGTATCGTCAGAACCACCATCAAGTCTGTCACGGCATTTTTCGTGGATAAAATGCTTTCACAGACATGACTGCGGCTACCACCACTATTGGCAATATTATTCTTTCACTAATTACTGCTGCTGCTACTGCTACTGTTTCTGCTATTGTTGCTATTACTACTATTACTACTATTACTGCTACTGCTGATGCTGCTACTACTCCTCCTCGTACAACAACAGCAGCAACAACAACTTCTACTGTTTCTAAATGGAGCCGCCTTAGCGCAGTCGATAGGAGGCTCGCTTTCAAATCCAGCTTCGACTTGCTGCAGCCATGTTCGGTGTTCGAAACCGGGCGGTTCCCAGGGTTCATCAAGCCTCTAGGAAATGGGTACCAGAGTTGACATTGTAGGGTAAATGGAGGAACGTCGCTGTAGCTACAGAGTTACGTGCGGACAGCTTCTTATCAGCTGGTCGTACTGGTGGCAGAGCACTTATGGTTTATAACCGTGTGTAGTGACGCTGGTTTAAGTCTCCTGACTTTACCTTTACCTTTTACTGCTTCCAATACTAATATAACTGCTGCTACTACTACTTCTACAACAACTACAACAACAACATCTGTGAAAACAACGATTACTACTACATATACTACTACTAATGTTTTATCACTATTACTATTACTACTGCTGCCACTGACACAATTCTTACCACCTCTAACCCTGTAAGCACCATCATCACCAACCTTCTCATCATCATCATCATCATCGTAATCCTCAAAGCCACTGACACAATAGTCACTAGCTCTAACTATTGACATGGCTGTCTTTCCCTCTCATCATCCCGTTTCGCTGGCCACCTTTGACCTCGCTTCACTTGGCATCTTTAGGAGACCAAGAGTAAAGTGTCCTTGGTTGGGTCCTTGTTAAGTGGAGTCTACTTGTTTGTAGGTGAGTCTGTATTACGTTTATGTATTTTCTATCGTCTTCATTCATTCATTCATTCATTCATTCATTCATTCCGGGGGCTGCGTTTTCTCGTTGCATGGTGTCCGCCTCAAGTGCTAAAGGTCCCGGGTTCAGGCCCCGGTAAAGACTGACATTTTTTTTAAGGTAGACTTTTAGTAATTACCCCTGGTCTTTGGGTAGTAAGATCTGACGCCCGTGTGTTTTGTTGCGCTCGCCAAAAAAATCCATTGGCAGTTAGAAATCGAAAAGAGTAGCCCAACGGTTCTGCCAGGGCAAAATTTGAAGTTTAAAAATCTACGCGAAATATTCCAGGATCCTTGCCGGTGCTACGGAGTTCGTGCACTGCGCATAAAAACGTCGGACTCAGGCTTAAGTTAGAAGAAGAACGGAGCACTTGTGAGTTACTACTCGTGTGCCATGATGTTGATCCATTGTTCGAACCAATGTTCAAACCAATTTTTTCATTCATTCACTCATGTATTCACATTCCTGTTCTTTTGTTGTTTTGCTGTTGTCCTCCTCATCATCACATCCTAGCCCTCCTCCGTTTTATTCCTAACCTACATTCTTTAATGAATGATTGTTTATGTATGCGTGAGTGTGTATATGCATTTTTGTGTATAAATG